GGGGGGGGGGGCGTGCTATATGCGAGGCCGATGGCGCTCGATGTTATGATGCACCACGTACCGCCCTATGTCATCACGTAATTACCGGGCAGCTACCGTGTCAGGCTTTTAAACTGCAAGCGATACGGAGCGGAGGCGATCACAACCCATGGCGTGCTGGTGGGCACGGATCGACACTGGCCAGTGAGCCTTTCCCACTACCCAAAAATGCGTGTTTACCCGTGGTTTTGCGGCAGTGGGAAAGGGTTATTAGACATTTAAGTGGGGCGAAGGCATGCCACTTATCACCCTTGGCCAAAATGGGCACAACGACACTACCCCGTAGCATCAGCCTTAGCAATCTGTAAAAGACACAGCAGGCCACCCCTTGTATGGGTAAACAACTCAAACTGTCATGGACCCCCAACAGGCATTTGGAAGATTGAAGAAGACATGAGCATCATTCAGTTATGCAGCTGTAACTAATGTGACCCTGGATTATTGATAATCGTGCATTGAACATGTTTTATGTAACGATAGAGCGTAACCAATGACGGAAGACTCAAAGATGGAGGGTTTTTTGATTTAGGCGGGTTGTTATCTTCTCAAGAAATACCTTTCAAAATTACAGTAAGCATTTTTTTTTCCTGGCAGGAAAGGGGAATTTGCAACCCCTGATCCCTGGCCCTTCTTTTCCTCTTCTCTTTCTCTCTCCTGCCACTGCTCTCACCCTCAGCAGTCCCCCTGCTGGCATTTGGAGAGCTTTCTGACAAGGTCATCTATGAATAAGATATGCTTATTCTCTTCACGTCATGAGCCACAACCCCGTTAGGCCTTACGTGCTCACGTCCCCTGCGGTTTGCGTCTCGCTCTTCCTCGCTTTCATCCACTATTCATTAAACAAGAGATGCCTGGAGTTTGCTGTTCATTACTCAAACCAGCCTCTCCTTCTCTTTAGAGCTTCTGCAGGCTTCTTCAATATGGATGCAGTTTTTAAAGAAATGTTCATGATAGAAAGAGGCAGCTTATCAGCACCTCCTCGCTGACACCATCTTTAATTTTCGATTTCACTTAGCGTACAATCATTATTGCTGTTCAGTCTTAATATGAATTCATTGAAGTGAGAATTGTGTCACGGCGCTCTTGTTTCCAGGCTTTTTTTTTTTTCTCCAAGCGTATGCAAAGTTGACAGTGCCATTCAATCCATCTTTTGTTTCTTTAGATTGTGCAGGATGCGGTCGAGATATTAAGAATGGACAGGCTCTCCTAGCATTAGACAAACAGTGGCATCTCGGCTGCTTCAAGTGCAAGGCCTGCGGGAAAGTGCTAACCGGAGAGTACATCAGCAAGTAAGTAACTGAAGCCTAAATTGGTTGGATTTTGTATTTTTGCCATTTTTTATCATCTAGACTAGAGTAACCAAAAGAATTGATTTGTCACACACCGCTTGTTGGGCACTCGGCACTTTATTGTTCCCGCAACAAAAAGTGGTCAAATATCCAGGCCAAATTTTGTCAGACGCTTGTCGATGGCCACAAAGCATCTGATTGATCTGAAACTTGCTAATAGACCTTTAACACAACATGAATGGAGGTGTGTGTGTGTGTGTGTGTGTGTGTGTGTGTGTGTGTGTGTGTGTGTGTGTGTGTGTGTGTGTGTTTGAGGCCCATCCTAAATAAAACAATTTCAATTTAACTCAAAATAAATTCTTCTTCTTTTGAAAAATCATTGAAGATTAATCTTGTATAAACATTACACCATGGAAAATGCTGATCCAAAGAATTTATGATCCGAATATGGAATTCCTGATGAGAAGAGGTACACAGCTATCACTGACATATTGTTTAAACTGAACAGTGGCAAATTGAACTGAGCTGAACCGTTTGGCAGAAACTTGGCTTGATATTTATTCATATTCCCGTATTTTGAGCAAGTGTTTTTCAAAACACCGTTCCTGATGTTCAACGTTGACTTCCTCACTTAGGGACGGTGCACCGTACTGTGAGAAGGACTACCAGATTCATTTTGGAGTCCAGTGTGAAGCGTGTCATCAATTCATCACAGGCAAAGTACTTGAGGTAAGAGACAAAGCCATTAGTATGAATTTGGGGAATCTGGCGACTAACCCAAAGTAGTTGTTGCTCCGTTTTTATTTCAACGTGTGGATTTATGTAACGTGCTGTTCACATCTAAATTCAGTTTGCCATAAATGTACTTTGTTAATCTGTGTTGTAATCTCTTCAACACGGAGCCAAACAGTCTCTTGACATGAAAGTGTTCTGCTAAAAGATTAATTCTGGGTAGCTTTTCAGCTTTTTATAACTCTAAATGCTTGCACACTCCGGCTCCTTTTGCCATCACTTACATAAATATTACATAAAATGCCAAATGTGATGTTTTGCATCTGTAATGAAACCTGTACTGAGGCATCCCTAAAACTACTTGATGTAGAGTCTTCTAAATCCGATATTTGTCTGCAAATGTAATCGACGCTTCAAACCTATATAGCCACACGTATCCCCCCATCAAACTCGACTGCCCAGCAGACAGTGATCCAATCAGTCAGTAAGTCATTTACTGGTATGAAAATGTTACCGCCAGCTAGCCGAGTTTACGGTAATCCGGTATTAAGGCTGGACTATATGACAATAGGAAAAGATCTCTCTGCATCTCCCTCCTGAGCTTCTGCCAAAGCAACAGTGCTGCCAAAGTGATGCCAGGCTGTCTGGCAGTTTAATCGGGGACACAAGTGACAAGTTAAACATCTCTTGAACTCGACTGGATTGATGAATACCGCTCTTCCTCGGGACAGTACGAAACGCATGTATTGTGTTCGACCACCATTACTTTGGTCTATTATCTATGTTATGTTATCGGATGATTATCACTCTTGAGATCTGTTCAAATCAGTTTAGTTCATGTATACTGTATATTGTAATGGATAAAACCATTTTCTTTCAAGCACGAGGAGCTTTCATCTTGATTTCAGGACAGCTTCCACTCTGCTTTGTAGATATCTTGCTAAAACAAGGAATTAAGATTCAGCGGGTCCTAATAATGGAGGTCTAGTCCAACTCTTGATTAAGATCAGTTTTTTTCTTTTTTTTTTAGTTAAGACTTCTTTGCCATATTCTCTGTACCAGTAGAATAATAGCCACGCAAGATAAAAACCTTTGCCCATGAAATTGTACTGCAAGGTGTTCCGCTTCGCCTTAATTTCAAAGTGCTACCTCCCAAATATTTCCCCGTTAAACTGATTTACTATCTCAAGTTATGTAATAACCAATTTTCAAAGCACGGTATGTGTCAAACTTAGTCATGTGTATGAATCATCTGCACTCCACATTTTATTCGAAGGAATGTGCTCTTTTGTCCTCCCGGGCGTGGTGGGAAAACTGCAAAAAAAGAAAACAAATGCAGATTCTTTCAAATAGAACTGTTGAGTCACTAAATGTGCTGAGGAAGTATGAATGGCGTGTCGTTAATACATTCTCACAACAAATTCAACACCAGTGCTACATTTTTGGAACAATTTGTTCTACAGCTCACCCTGCATCGCCGTCATTAAATCGAATAATGTGCTCATTACATTTATTGAAGCACCCAACATCATGGCAGACTCTTGAATTTTCAGTGAGCTTTCGATATTTGAACAACAATGGGGTATTCACATTGAATTCACCTTTTTATAGCCAAATTTCAGCCAGCCCACAATTTTCCTATTTAGGATTGATAGTAAATAACTAACGACAGCACTTTACAGTTTTAGAAAGACACTCTGGATGAGCTGTAATAAGTCCCCTTGCTGAATCTGATGAAACGTCCCAGAGTTTAGCAGGCTTTGGCGGTCCGAGCATAGCTGAGTGAAGTGGGATTATTGGGTTTATTTCCTGCCTCACCGCAGCGGGATGTCATTGATCTTGCCGTTTCTCTGAAGTCAGGTTTTTTTCTTTGTGCTGTATGCTTTGCAGGCAGGAGATAAACATTACCACCCCAGCTGTGCGAGATGCAGCAGGTGCAATCAGATGTTTACGGAAGGAGAGGAGATGTACCTCCAAGGTGAGCGCACGTTCTGCTGCCGCTATCCACACATTCTTTGAAGCTTTATAGTTTTAAACCCAAGCGTGATTGGTGAATAACACTGAAAATGATGCACAAGCAGCAGATGAAATTCTCAACTCAACTCAACTGTATTTATAGAGCACTATAAAACAACCACCGCTGTATACAAAGTGCTGAACTTGGAGCAAAAATAATTCATACAACAAACAATAAAACAATAAATTAGTGACAAAGACAGTAGAAAGCACAAAAACAGTCAAACTAAAAATCAAGTCTCATGCTTTGTTTTGGCTTGCACGGCGGGCTCCTCGGCAAATCGCAAATTTCCTGCAGATGAAGTGACATTCTTTCTATATTACGACATTATTTTAAACATACTGTTCCATTGTCCAATAGTCAGGTTTTCCTCATGCCAGTCTCACCACTAATGCAAAGCTTTATTACCTAATTGAGTGACATTTCTCTCACGGTCGACACAAGGCTGCCTCTGCAAGAAACCTTTCCAGAATTGCATGACACTTAAAGGGACGAGTAGTTAGATTTGGTAAACAATCCTTACTTTGTGCTTTCTTCAGGATCAACAGTGTGGCATCCCGGCTGCAAGAACACGACTAGAACAGAGGAGAGACACAGGGAGAGGGTAGGAATCTGCATGTTCCATTATCCTCAACTAAACCCTGATAACATTCTATTGGAATGGAGTGAAAATGCTGCATATGCAACACGAATTTCGATGAGGGCAGACCATTGCGAAATGAAGAAGCTTTTGAGGTTTTTTTTGAAAAACTTCACTGCTGGAAATGTTTGACTTGATGTGCACTTATCTGACATTGCATTAGGTACACATTCACACTCTATTTTGATTCAGTGCAATAGCTGTGTCAAAAGAAAAAAGTACCGGTACTCTTTTTTTTTTTTAATTAACACTGCAGTAATTTTTTAACATGTTAGATTTAGTGTAATGTAACAGAATATTGATTGTAAGTATGAGAGAATAATGATATATAAATGTGCCAGAGTGTGCGCTTTCATATTTTCTGTACATACCGTATGTTGTTCGGCATATGTACATCACGCTCAATGTAAATACATTTGCCTACTTGAGTAGGTCTATATGTTGACTTTTTTTCCTTTTCTTTAATTTTGAGACATACCACATGAATGACCTATTATTATCTTAATATTAAACAAGTTAAAGTACGCAAAGAACAAGGGGTAGGACTAGATACGTTTTTTTCATCCCATCCTACTTCCTTTGAACGTGTCGATTGTGTTAAATGACTGCTTGTTTTTACTTCCTGCCAAATTTCTGTGATCTGTTGATATGTTCAATAAACAAACCAACAAAGCAGTTACTACAATCTGCAAACCAAGTCAATGAACACAATTAATGTATTGCCACCTTGGCAGTGTCATTCAACACTCATTACCTTTGTAAAGCTCATACATCCGATGTTGGATTGTTCGACTGCACAAGTGTACGTCATGTTAAGTGGCCGTTAAGCGTATGCAGGGGCGCCATAAGTAGGAGAGGGTCCTGTGTATGACAGGGACCCTAAAAAATACATGGTGGTAGTGGTGGAGCCCCGAGAGCTCTTTTCTCACGGGGTCCCAAATCACTTATCGGCGCCCCTGAGCATACGAGTGGACTTTTGAGTCAGACTGGAGATGAACAACCCCTGTGTGATGTCCTGTGAACCCCTTCTCCCTTCCTCCACAGCTACTGCCTCCGTCCCTCTTATTCCTTCAAAAAACAGAAAGGCAGGTACTGTATTCGCTATGGGCTGTGAGGCGTTTCATCGTGTTCCACCATACTGTACACACAGAGCACGACACTGTTTGCTGCCATCTGCTGGAGACAGCTTGCAGTGCCCTTTCCGTGATTCCACATGTAGCCATTCAGAATAAATGACTAATTTGTCTTCTCTAAAAGCCCCATTTACCCATTAGCTTAAAAGCTCATTTAATTATACTACATTCAAGATTGCTGCTGTCATCCAAACAGTTCATTTCTCATAAACAGGCAAGGCAACACTACGGCTCACTCATTCACTTTGCGCATTTGCAAATGAATGCCCTCATCGTGACATGTTGAAAAGATTTGAAATGACTCTGCATAATTCCTGAAACATAAATACAGGGGTTGCAAATCTCTACCATCACTCACGCTCATAACGGCTAAATGATGTTGTGTTGGAGGGTTTTGGGTGATCTGAAGTCGGTGAGGGGCCTGTGGTTGAAGACAAACTGGCTGCACAGGTAAGGTGCTATGACTAAATATTGTGTATGTATGCTTTTCCCTCCTGCAGCCAACGAGGTCGTCATCTGAGAGTATTTGTTCCAGACCTGGTTCAAGCATACCTGGCTCACCGGGTCACACAATCTATGTAAGATATATCACCCACACAATCCTGTATGTCTCAACGAGCGTGTCTATTCTTTTTCCCTCTCTCTGAATGAAAAATGATCCTTTCCGGCCCCATTTACGTACAAGTAATTGTCTGTTATATTTGTGCCTTACTCAAGAAGCGAATGGTTTTACATCAGCAGTATCTCTTTGCTTACGTCTGTGTGTGCATGTTTGTCTTTATTTGTCTCCTTAGGCAAAAGTAGACAATGAGATTCTTGATTACAGAGACCTAGCTGCCATTCCAAAAGTCAAAGCCATTTATGACATTGAGCGCCCTGACCTTATTACCTATGAACCTATGTACACCACCTCCTTGGAGGAGAGAGAGGAGAGACGAGAAAGTGTAGGAGAGGTAAAGCAGACTGCATGCTCCTCCCATTGCATGCACGGCATCCTTGTGGTCATGTTGAACAGCAAGAATGCATTTCCTAAGTTGATCCTCTGTTTATCTGTAAAATACTGGTGAACGTTCTAAATGATTACTGGGGCACCTTCTGAATCTGCTAATGAACTTCACTGTCCCTCACAGCTTCTTCATGCCAGGAAGGAGCGTTCGCCCTTGCCTGATGAAAAAGTGAGTTACATCAGCTGCTGATGTATCCATCCATTTTCTATCTTGCTCCTGTTCAAGGTCATAAAGAACCCGGGGAGTTCGGAAGAGCGGTGTCCATGTACAACCTGGATCCTGACACAAAAGACAGACAAAACACATTCACTCATATGTGCTCAAACTGTGGGAGGAACTTGCCCACAGAGTACAGATTTACTGTTGTTCTATTCATGTGCAGTGTCCTTGAGGGTCTGTGAAGACGTTTACAGATAAAACTGATTTTTACGATGACAGACACAGCAGCCCACTCACATCTTGCTGTGAGGCACTGCCCAGTTGAGCTCCCCTCAATCTGATAAATAAAACAAAATCAGGAAAAAAAAACATTTTTTTTAAATGCACGTAACTGAGTGATACTGTCATAAAATCCAGTTTATGATGCTTCCATATGATGCTTTGCTATTTTTTTCCTATGCAGCAGAGGTATAGCAAGAGAAATATTTGATAATAACGATTAATAACTAAAATGATGCTGACAAGGCAGAACTTGATTGAATTATGCTTTGTCTTATTTCCAGTCTTTTAGAACCATGTCTCCAACTCTATCCAATGAGGTGAGCTTAGTGTTTTACCAAACTTCAATTTTCTTCTTGTATGTGGATTGTCAGTATGCTACTGTTCTTACCATCATCGAACACTATGTCTCTTTGTGTATACGCTATGTCAGGGATGTTATGACAAAAGAGAACGCATTCTCCAGAGGTCCACCAGTCAGGGCTCCTTAGGCTCGCCAGTTTATAATCGCCATGGCTACACCCCCACTCTGTCACGGTCCCCGCAGCATTTTCACAGGCCAGGTGAGTCCTTTGTGGATGCTTCCTGCAATAGTACAGATGATTCGCAATTGTTGAAGTGAACTGAGGGAAAGGTATAAGCCTCGTAAGATTGGGTTCTCGCTTCGTCTTCTTTATGTTTTTATCATGTGAAAAGGAAACTTCACTGAAATTGGCTGATTGGTTGTTATCTCTTGTTGTGACTGAATTGAATGAAAAAAAAAGTATTATCTTCCAATAACAGCCAGACAGCCAATTTGCCTCCTTAGCATCACACTTCCCTTTTTAACTGTGCACAAGAGTGTAGTTTGTTTCATTTCTTTTCACCTCGGTTGTCATTTCTTTGGATTTTTGAATGCCTGCAAATCTCCCTTTTCCATTTCCTCCTCACGTTCTCAACCTCTATCACCCTCCCACAACCGGTCGCTCTGGCGGCTGCTGCCGGGTGCCGCACTCGCCCTCCCCCCTGCAGAAGCTCTGACAGGCATGCAGAAGCTCTGCTCCTCCTTGTGCAGTAACAGTGTGGGCTCCAGAAATAGTGACTCCCGGCCCACCTCTCCTTTTAGACACCACTTCCTCCCCCATAGTCAAGGTAAGGTGCTCCCCCCGCCCCCCGTCCCCACCACCACCAACCACCACGCCTCCCTTAGCACATCATCTCCATTACAGCCTGGGATGCAACCTCATGCTGGTCTTGTTTGTCATTTTGGACCCATCAGCATGTCTCGTCAAACAGCTTGTGCCTTCATTCGTGACACTGGCACTACTTCAGCATGAACAGATGACAAGCTCTTGGTGTTGTTTATTTGCCGTTTACATGCCATTGAGAGGTTCTGGTGTTTCACTTTCTACTATGGAAGTTGAATGACACATGATAAACAGTGCCACTCCTTCCAAATCCGAAAGTTTTGTTGTGTAAGTGTACATCCAGCTATATGTTGCGTTGTTGTACGCATAAAAATTACAGTTGTCACATTCCATAGTACAAGCAAACACGATGTAACGAATAATAATCATCTCCATAATGTACCACTCGTCTAACAGCATTCATCCGTGACGGCAACACTAACAATAACCCCAAATTCGCCCCACTTGTCCATATGCGTTGTCCCCATCCACACTCAGGATCCCCTTATGCATCCCTGTTTACGTTCCTTTTTTTGGTTCTTCTCACTGGAGGCACTGACTCACCAAGCGGCCGGAGCTCCCCTCTCCCGCTTAGGCCCGACAGCCGGCCGGGCACCCCGCCTCTCTGTCTGACCCCTAAACATTTTCACCTCCCAGGTAGGAGTCGGAGCACACCCTGTCACTGTTCATCTATCTCTCTCTCTCTATCTATCTATCTGGAAGCTTGCTAGGTTGCTTTTTACCCTTATACTTTTAAATATACAGAGAGATGAGCTTTAGGCTGCTTCGGTGGGTAGAACTATGATATAATAATAACTGACCAAGTAAATGTTGGTACCGCATGTGTTTTGCATAAATGCCAAAAGGTCTTTAAAAGAAATGATCTCTATTTGACCAATTTCAGATCAAGGCAGTAACATCTACAGAAAACCACCTATCTACAAACAATACGGTACCTTTTCTTCTATTTACAGCTTGTTTACTCATTTGAATTTTGTCTGAATACTGATGCGAGTGGGTCATAAGTCCAAGTGTGTGACACTCTATATGTTCTGTGATGAAAATGTTTTGTTGTTTAACTTATAGCTACCCGTTGTCAGTTTATGTGCACTGTTTGAAGTCTGTCTCTTATCCACTTCTGGCTCACCTGCAGCATTTATCCATCCCATTAAATAATGCTTAGTAGTTTTTCATTGATTACTGAGAATAACGTTATGTAATGTGTTCAGTTTGAGCAATTAAATCAAATAGAATTGTTTATCTCTTGGGATAAGACTTATGTTCACTAGTCACATACGGTAACTTTCGGCATGTACGATGGAATTTCAGACTGAACCTAAAATGCATTTTAACCTTTATAAGTGAAGCAAATATGCCTTTTTTTAAAACTGTCTAGTGTTTCAGTACTTTTGGCCCAACCAATAACATTTCTCATTGAATTACAATTTGTATTTATGGTAAACACTCCTCATCAAGCTGTTCGCACTTTGACATCATGAGAACAAGATGCCAGCTAACAATTGATCAACAGTAGCTCACCATTGCAAGGATCCAGGCAGGATGTTCTCAGAGCGAAGTGGCCATTGTACTGAGAGCGAGACTGGGAGAGTCACAGAAAGGCATTTAAGTGGATGATGTTGAAAGTTGTCATGAATCGCACATCTATTGTGAATTTTCCCAGTCAGCTTCCTTATTAGAGAACAAGTTGTGAAAACAATATAGAAACATTAATAGTTGGTCATTTGAAAATTTAGGTCATTTGAAAATTCAGGGAAGGTGAAATAAGGTTCACATGTAAAGATTATAATGCATTTTAGGTTCATCCTTAAACTTTTTGTGAGTCGTATACCTTGCGTCATAGTAACAATGGCACGTCCAAAAATTTCAGGATGCTATCATATGCCATGTAATATGTTTCTAACTCAATTTATTGAACATCAGTTGTCCCGCTACTTTTAACCATGTAGTGTTGTTCATTAGGTTATTTTGACAATTCCAAGCCCTTCTAGGAAACAAACACTTGCCAACTTGTCACTTACAGTAATTCATGAAGCTGACTCTATAACATTTCTTGACTTGTCTTGTGGAAGAAATGCTTTGCTTTGTGTAAGAAGGCCCACGTTGCTAAATGTGGTTGAGCCAGCGTCATAAACGCTGACAGATCAGTCGCCATGGTTACCAACCTATATACAGCTGCCATAGCACGTCAAAGCAAGTCGGCTGATGACATCATCAGATCTGCCACCTTCCCTGCTGCCCATGCTCCCTCTCCAGATGACAGCTTACAGAGCGAGGGCGATTGTTGGCCCTCCCCTAACGTTCTATTAGGTACAGTAGGCGCCTAATGGGCATGCTTGCATTGCAGCCATGGAGTGGCAAACCTCACCTAACTAATTCTTGTTCCCCCCCCCCGGAGCTGCTCTAAATCCTTAACTGCATCCCTGCTTCACGTTTAAGCACTCTTAGAAACTGGCAAACCTATTATGTTGCGCTTGCGCATAAAAAGCTTTGCTTCTTTTGCTACCACATAATTATTATTATTATTATGATTTATTTATTTTTTTTGCTCAAGGTACTAGCGTAGCTTCAGTTTCACTTTTTTACGTTCCTGCCCTCTTTGGCGCAAGATACTGTATGTACACAATAAAGCCACAAATGGCTTCGACAGAGATAACAGAGACTGACTTCAAACTGACATGTGTCCATGTGTCTTACATCTGTGCTGTTCTGTGTATTTGACGTGCAGTAATTCCAGGAAGTACATGATTGAAGCCACCAAAGTCAACATCACATGTCAGCGTACCCAAAGATTCCAAAAAGTCCCGTTTGTCTGTCTTGTCAACTCTGTCTCACATTTGTGTCCCTTTTTACACCCTGTATATTATTTACTTCTTAGTTCATTCGTGTAAATACACCTTCTCTTTCTGTTATTTATAACTTGTTTTATACTATATGTTGCACTGTCCAATTATATGTGCATCACGATATCCTCCTGCAGGATGTGCATCTTACTTGGAAATTTACGATATGTTTTTGGGGGCTGTATTTGGATCGGCAGGTACAGAGGGAAGAAGACGATCCAGAGAAGAGGAGGAGGAAGATGCCTTGAAAAGAAAGCAGCTTCAGGAAGAACATCTCAACAAGGTCAATCGAATAATTCTTAACCATAAGAATTAGATATACTGTATACTGCACAAGCTTTGTATCCTTAATCGTCCTGTTCGCAATGGTACTTGACTTGGAAAGTATTTTCGTATTTAGATCCAGTCAGGTTTGGGAAAGCTAATTCTCAGGGAGGAGATGGAAAAAGAGCAGATTAGGGAACGCTACACAAGGAGTGTCTCTGCTCATCGCTATGACACCAAGCAGGATAACGGAGATGCAGGTAAAGAGAAGCATTCAATGTTTTCTCACTGAATCCAGTCAATTTGGATTTAATATAATGTATAAATAAAAGTTTGCTTGGAACTTTCAGATCCAACTTCTCCAACGAGAACAAACTCTTTGCCTGGATATGGGAGGAATGGCCTTCACCGGGTGAGATCTCAAGCAGTTCCATTGTGACCGCAGATGGAAGAAAAAACAAAGGCTCTGTCTGAAAAATACAAAATCTTACATAGCTATATTTGCAAATTAGAAAACACTGGATCGATATGCGTTCACAATTGTGATTATTGTGTTATTGTATTAATGTTATCCCTTACGGAACACGTGCACGAGTAAACAATTGTTACGTGTGTCATATAATTTTTATAATGCAGTGATACATACAGTACATAGTGTATATGGTAAACCAAACTCAGCAATTTTCCTCTGCTCCGCAGCCCCAGTCAACAGATTTCACACAATACAACAGCTATGGCGACATGTATGGCGGAGGCAGAGGTGAGCACCGCAACCAAAACATGTTGAACAAGCAAATGTCACAAGTGATATCACCCGTAGTCAAAGATTCAGAAATGCCTTTGCCACGGGTAAGCATACATGAAGTAGCCGTGCATTTTTAAACATCTGCTTCATGGTGCCCCCAATGTGTCATTAGGGACACGTGTTATACAGTAGTAGCAAGTAGCCCGACAGGAGACGTGACAGCAAAACCATTAACTGTGAGTCTCATTTTTTGTCCCATTTTGTCCTGCAGACTTTCAGGTATGTCCCCCATCTGCTTTTTCACATGGCATGCTTTCTCATCTCGCACCACAGATTTGCTTGCAGTAGGCATCTTGCCCTGAATGCACACTATCCACTTGTGCTACATGCTTGCATTGTCGTCGAACATGTTCCTGTATCTCATCTAGGCGTCACCTACAGGGCATGCAGTCAATTGAAATGCACTGCCCAGTAGCTGAGTAACTGCACTCTATATGCAAGGTGCAAGCGCCACCTCATGTGTTGTTTTGTTTGTCTGTCTACCAATGTCATGCCCCGAGCTAAATGTTAGAGTTTAGGAATCTTTTTTTTTTTTTTCAAAATTCACTTCAGGGACACATAAACCTACATTTGAACAGCAACTGAACATCATGAATTTTAGGATCCTGAGCGCTAGTCAAGCTCCTTGCTCCATCCAGTGAAAAGTGTGCCCACTGTCATAAAACGACAACATACTCATGCCATTAACCCTGCAGTCCCGTCCCACTATATTATATTTGTGTATGTTCTATTCTTTAGCACATTAAGGATGGCCGTGCAGCACTTGCAAGGATGGACAGGGGAGTATCTATGCCTAATATGTTGGAACCCAAAGCAAGTATCTTCTTCTTTTTGTACTGATGGCAACAATGTGAACTACACTGTATGGACAAAAGTATTGAGACACACCACCTCGTCAGTTGCCCAATCAATCAGGGGTTGGACTTGACTACTGAATATGCTCTTGAACCTTAATATTGGTCCTCATATGTCTTAGAATTATTGTCAAAAACATTGGAATTGACCTGAAATGAATAAAATATATAATAATCTAACTTGTGTGTCACCATGTTGCCATGGTGTACAGTGCATTGTAATATGAATCAGAACGCTGTGTTTAGACTAGTGAAGGCACATAGAACGTATTGGAAAGAAAATGTTTGGGCTGACTTTATGTAACACTCTTAGCTGTCTTCCAAACATAAAGAGAAATAATTTACTGTATAATAAACAAGATTAACATAGGGCGGCACTGTCAAGTCAAGAATTTCTATGGTCGAATCTCGTCTCAAGAATTTATTCCCCAAAAAATGTTGGGTTTATTGATGATGTTAATGTGCCCGTTGGGGTGAATGTGTGTGTCAATGTTAGTTTGTCTATAGCAGGGGCCTCAAACTCAATTTATGCGTTGACCCTTGGAGACAGAGTCTGGGTGTGTATGGGCTGCATCAAGTATTCCAAAAAGGGGTTTAAGTATTCCAAAAAAGTACAACTAATCCATTCTTTTCAATCTTTATTAATAACAGTTCAGAACAGTAACGGTTTTTCAAATAGTGAACAAGAGTGGTATCTCACGCCTCCCTCCCATCTCCCTAGTACTGTGCATACTCCTCAGCATGTCTACATGAGTAAAAGACATCAAATTTTTTTAACACCACAAATTTCTCTTTGCATTCAAGACATGTCAGGGTGCCCGTGTTTTCAACAAAAAAACTGTCTCTGGCTGTTTGCATGGCCAACATTTCTCTTCATTGCAGGTTTTGAAAAAGACATGACTTGTACTAGGTGACAACCTACTTTTTCCTTGCACTTAGTGTCACTTCAGAATTATGTATAAAATATCATCCCGCGGGCCGCGAATTGCCCTAAGGCCATGAGTTTGAGATGTCCGGTTTTTAGGCTGTAGTTTACCCATAACCATCAACAAAATAAGAAAGAAAAGAAATGGATGAAATGAAATAAAAATGAAATAAAACAAGTCATCATTTGATAACATCAGATCGAGAGGGAACCGAAACCAACTCCAACTTACCATATTTACATGCAGAATATCAACCCGCAACGCATTTTATTCTGGAAAATGTCAATCTTGGAAAAAATGGATGAAATAGTACAATAAAAACCTGATTTAACCAAAGCGTTCATTTCAGGTCATGCAATGCATATCTTTCCAATGTTTTTGCTGTTAAAAATGGAAGAGAATCCCATTAACTTTTCTGCCAACTATTTGAGGAAGGCCCCTTTCCATTCCAGTAGCACTGCACAAAGCAAGGTCCATAAATAAATACTGTACTGGTACATGGATTTGTTTGGTGTGGAAGAACCCTGTCAAACACCCTCAGGATCAACTAGAGCAGAAATGATGTAATAACCCGGCCCCCATCTCGCTCACAAATGTTCTTCTGGATGAATGGACAAAAATACCCCCATACACTCCAAAATCTTATGCAGCTTAAACGACCACGGGTCCCAATACTTCTGTTCATATATTGTATGTTAACAAATGTACAGTGAGCTTACACGAACACTAGCTAAACACAAAAGTTTCAGCTGTCTTATACACAAAATATTTTAACATAATGCAAGGAGGTTTGTTCATAGATGGAAGGATAGAATGGAAGTCATTTACTGTTTGCTCCCTGCAGTGCAGAGATATTTTATTTAACACCTTAATTCGAGAAATTGCAGATTTAGCATGCTGCTTCAGGAGCTGCAGTCACGTTAGCGCTTAGCATGCCGGCTTCTTCATGTTCATCTGCACATGGCTTTGATTTCTGGGGTCTGGATGCTGTATGTGCCATACAGTGAAGAACCAGTGCCTAAAATTCCATCTAAAGGACTCATACCACTATGTAGAGTACTGTAGAGTGTATACAAAGGGTGTCAGAAAAGTTGCAAAACTGTTAATTAACTGTTAACTACAAGTTTTCCCCTCCGAAGTCTTAACGTGCTTCCCTGGCCTCTCTGTGATGCCTTCATGGAGGGATATTTTTGGCGCTCCTCCGTATCATTCTACTGGCCATGTTGAACTCACTCATGTCTTCAAAACGGGACCCCTTGATAATTCCCTTGAGCTTGGGCAAAAGGAAAAAAAGTCACACACAGCCAAGTTTGGTAAGTAGGGAGTTTGCTCCGTGAGCACACCGATACTCTCCTGAGTCAGGAACTGTCAGGTGCTCAGGGCATTGTGAGCAGGTGTGTTGACATGGTGAAGCCCCACCACAAGTCTCGCCTCTTCTCGTGCACTGAATGAAGCAAGCGCAGCAGAATCTCTGTGCTAGTAGATCGCTGATGCCACTCACACAGAAGAATGCGATCAACATGATTTTGGACTTGGACTGCATTGTTTTCTTCAGACTTTTCCACGAAGTCTCAGGCATTTGGTCGTACTCGGAAGATTTATCGCCAGTGTTGACACTCCCTAGCAAGTCTGGTCTCCTTACGCTCATTACTCACTCTGGCAGTTCCTTGATGGCCCGACACGGGAGATAGTTATATCAAAGCATGTGCACAAACCTTGAAGAGCTCCAGAGAGCTGAGCTCACAGTTAAGTACTTCAGGGTGATTACAGTGAAGGGCAAAAAGCGTACTATGTGAAATGTAGTCCTGAAACTTTTCTGACACACCTCGTCAGGGAGCATTCCACCACTGTGTGGATATGAGTCGGTCAGAGAATAAGGAGAAATTCAAGCACGTTGTTTATCAATCACATCGCCGCAATTTTCAGTTGCTGCTTTCTTCTCGCACACGTGAAATTAGTTATTCAGGTTATCGTTTACTTTTCCAGTGTGATCATTCCCATGAGGTTTACTTGGCTAGCGTGACTGATGTTGGTCTGATGTTTTTTTTTATTTTTTATTTTTTTTAGTTTATACTGATTTGTCCTCAAAATACCGCCCTTACAAAACTGTGTCAACCCTTTCTTTCTCGATATTTTGCACGTGAGATTATGCACACCATGGCACCCAAACCAGCATTTCCCCAACAAACTAAAGGACCACTTTCACTGTCAGTCATCCTCCTGCCGCATACCTGCTCTCTTTCCACTTCTTCCCTCTGTCACAATTACAAGTACATTCACATACAGTTATTGTTATTTCGTCAGATAAAGTTGTTAATAGTTAAAGCAACTCGGGTGTGTGACCCAATGCACTGATGAGTGTCTCCCTTTGAAGGTGTATCCCTATGAAATGCTCGTGATAACCAGTAGAGGGAGAGCTAAACTGCCCAGGGATGTGGACAGAACCAGACTGGAGGTATCAATGTTTATCCGTCATTGATGCTCGATTTTCAAATTTTGTGTCTAAGCATGTTACACAAATAGAGCATTAGCAAAAATGTGCCGTATTCATTGCTTCTCATCATTTTTGCAGATATCATTTTTATGGCTTTGGTGCTAACCCCTACCTCCCCTCCTTTGTTGTCTCCACCTTTTTAGCGCCACTTAGCAGCCGAAACGTTCTTTGACATCTTTGGAATGGAGATCCAGGAGTTTGACAGGCTTCCCCTGTGGAAACGCAACGACATGAAAAAGAAGGCCAAGCTTTTCTAGCGCTCGCAGCAGCATGCATCCACACACGTGCACATTCAAACAAACCATTCATGAAAACAATCATCTAGGCTAGGCTTCGGTTTGTTTCCTTAATTTCTTCTTGATTTTATTTTTTTCTACCTTCTGACATGAACTCTTTTTGCTCGGACACTTCCTGAGACTCTGAGCTGAATGGTGCAACTCATTAGATTTGCACAGGGAACTCATAATCACGAATCATTTCATGTTCAAAAATGACAAAGAATGAATGATAAATAGGATGATGACATGTGTATTGATGGCGCTTGTTTTTTTCTTGCTTTGCTTTCTTCCTTTTTATGCTCGTTGCTTCCTGCTATTTGTTGCTGTTGACCCCTGTGGAACTTTGTAAGTGCGGTAGAACTTTATGACGCCACAGAATGTCCACTCTAGTAGCCTGAATATACATCTGCTTTCCTTTGCTGGGACCAAAAAATATTTGGTCCAAAGGTTGCATCAGTTGGTTCAGTGAGTCTTTGAATAATAGAAGTAATTAAAAAGAAAGAAAAAAAAACACTGCGAAAGCAGTCAACTGACCAGCCGAAACAGTTTTCCTGCTTCACTAAGCTAATGAACGATCCAAGCATCTACACTCAGCCTTCATATCTTGCCTCCTGGACATGCCAGCTTTCATTAGATCCTTATAAAGAGAAAATGGCACTCCTCTCAGGCTCTCTGAAACATGGCCGGACATTTACCCCTCACCTTTATTGAAAATATACATCTTAATATATTTTATTGCCATACCCAATATACAGTAAGAGATCAGTAGATAATATACCTAATGTAAGCAAGCCTGTTTGACAGTATTGTTTTATACAGTGATTGAAAACTCACGCTGCCGGTTGTTGTTTTGAAAACGAAGCCAATAAAGCTTTAAATCACCATGAACCACACGATCCCCAACGAGACCAAAGCTACTCACTGCCTCTTTCTGTGAACTTTGCGTTTCTCCGTCAAGCACATTTACCCTGGGTGAGAGGTTGTTTGAGGACTTGGTGGCTTTTATGGACCCAATGGGAAAGTTTGCACATACACGCTTATTATTTGGGGTCTTTCGTTTGAAAACAGAGTATTGTTAAAATGGCTTCATCCTGAGAGTAACAGATCAAACATCAAAAGAAAAAAAGTAAAAGTGGCTTATGTCTGTCAGGAGTTAGGTGTCATGTTTTCGATGCACAAAGGTAAGTCAGACTTATTCAAAATATACTGAACACTACGAAAGTCATTCCACTTGTTAAGTACTTCTGTCCGTTTTCCTCAATCTCAATTTCTCTGATGACAAATTACACTCATAGTAATATAACAGTGTTAAAACTGTGACGTGCGTATGTTGACTGATTTCAATTAAACAAAATCTGAAAAAGTGTAAGACGGTAGAGGAATACAACCGTTCCTCAGTAAATTCCAATTATTGTCGACACCAGAAAAATTGTAGACACCCACACAGTATCCCACTGGATATCTTCGAGATTTTATCTTGCATTGCAGTATGCAAGTGGATAATGGGGAAGTTTCTAAAACATATTTGTCAATAGCCATTTAAATGAAGCAATATAATTTGATTTATACTTTCCTTCCTGTAAATATATTTCACTTTAATGATAAATCAATATGCTTTAAATGACTTTCACTTTAATGATAAATCAATATGCTTTAAATGACTTTGGACCCATTCAAATAGCTTTGGCTGATATTCTAAATAATGGGAACCAAATATTGTATGGTATAGTATAATTATATAATATATCCATCCATTTTCCGAACCACTTTCTCCTCACAAGGGTTGCGGGGGGTGCTAGAGCCTATCCCAGCTGTCTCCGGGCAGTAGGCGGGGGACACCCTGAACCGGTTGCCAGCCAATCGCAGGGCACACATCGACCAACAACCATCCGCACTCATGCTCACACCAAGGGACAATTTAGAGTGTTCCATTACCCTGCCATGCATGTTTTTAGAATGTGGGAGGAAACCGGAGTACCCGGAGAAAACCCACGCAGGCCTGGAGAGAACATGCAAACTCCACAGAGGAAGGCCAGAGCCGCGATCGAACCCCTCAACCTCTGCACTGTGAGGTCGACACGGTAACCACTGGGCCGCCCTTGTATAATATAGTACAGTATAATTCTTGAAATTGACAATATTGTCAAGCAGCGCTGTAGTACACAATCTGAATTTATTATTTTTTTGTTGTTGTCTCAGACTTGACTCAGGCTCCTTGGCATTTGACTTGGACTTGACTTGGACTGGGCCATTGGACTTGCAAAATGTTTTCATGGACTCGATGGAGTTTTAACTTCTAAAAATTAACGTCCTCCTTCAAAAGAAACTTGAAATAAAGTTTTTCAGATAGCCATTTGATTGGTTGACCTGATGTGCTGAAGCATCCAGACTTTTTCTCTCAGTCTTGACAGCCAACAGTGGGGTTATAACATTTGGTTTTAGCAACCCTAGAGAATGAACGTTAGCCAACACGTCTTTTGACGCTTGCAGAGGCACCACAAAAAGAGGTAATTGTTTTTGTTGTTTATCTACGCACACAGTTAATAAGGCAAAGTGTTCCATGCCATCTAAGAAAAAGATAATAAAATTTATCTAATTGTGTGGTTGTGCAAATAGTATTTTCTGTCTTAAGATTTACTCTTGAGGTCATCGGGACTTGAACCCTTTGTGGCTCAAACTTGTCTTGGACTCAATAAACGTGGGCTTGACTGCAGCGCAACATCAATGACCAAACCGTCGTTGTACTATGACTAAAACTTAATATGAACATATTCATCCATCTGAGGATATTGCATGTACAACATTTGCACTGTTCTCTGCAGGAGTTGTTAAAAAGTCATCAAGAATGTCTAAGGATGCAAAGGGAGGTGGTGAAGGACAGACAGAAGAACCTGGCTGAGCAACAATCAGAAATCATTGTAAGTTCTCAATGGGAAGAGTCCCTAGTCGTAAAAGTTAGCGAGAACATGAAGAAAAAATGTCAAAAGAATATTCCTTCATTTGTAACATTAGCCTTTGGTGTTAAGGTTGCTCACTTTACAGTGACCATTTTGCTTACCTGTGCCCTGCCCCCCCCCCCCAACTTACATGGTCATTCACACCCAAAAAGTGCCCCACTACTATGATGACTTAAAAGCTGATGTTTGTGTTGTTGTTTACGATAAACATGGCTTTAACCTTAAAGAAAAACAAGCATTTAGAGTGACTCTCGATATACTGTACATTGAACTGATGAGTGCTTGTACCTCAGAAAAAGTCCTACGTGATAAAGGAGAGCATAATAAGAAAACATCTGGAGATCCGAGCCATCCTGGACGAAGACCTGAGGACCACACTGTCCCACCTGGAGGCAGAGGAGCGTGCTGCTGTCTCAGCTCTGGACTGGCTCATGGAGAGGAACTGGTCTCTGATCCGGGAAATAGAACAGGACCTGGCTGGAATCACAGTGACACTGGACCACCAGGACTTGCCTTCTCATGAAATGGTGAATGAGCATGGAATATATTATGGTGGAAGTATATATGCTGAATTACAGGCAGGACAGTGCACTAGTATTGAGCAGATCTGCTTCACCATTCAGCTGTTCAATTCTGCCTAGAGACGCCATATTTTATTTATTTATATATATTTTTAAGAGCTGTGCTGTTCCAGGTGTAATTCTCGTTAGATGTGGTTATTTTCACATTCCTAAAGCAACATAAATAATGATGATATGCAGTACACTTCATTTTATTATGATTTCCTTGCTTCTTTTAGTCAGACCACCAAGGTGCCGGGGTGATCGACAGGTATGTATCACCACCGCAATTAAACTGTGATCATGGAAAAAATATAATCAAAACGTTCGATTGTGACTAAACATCTTTCTATGTCTGATCCAGAGTGGCAGCTGCACTCAGTAGGTTCGAGTGTTGCAGTGTGAGCTTGGACGCCACCAAAGCTGAGCAGATTCTCAGCCTCACCAACAACATGCTTCTGCTCATCTCCTCCCTCACTCCTACCATGAAGAATCTTATGAAAAGTTGTTAGTTTAACCACAAATTTTAGCTACCACAACTTCATTGTTTCTTTTCACCATAGTGATACATAATATTTATCTCCAGATTCGAGTGACGTGTGCCTGGATCCAGACACAGCCCATCCCAAGCTACTCATCTCTCCTAAAGGTGACAGTGTCACCTACACAGACACATGGAAGGAGCTTCCTGACGCCCCTTCCCGCTTTGACACCACTCTTAATGTCATCAGCTTACAAAGCTTCAGCTCTGGCCGTCATTACTGGGAAATGGACGTGACTGGCAAGACTTACTGGGAGCTTGGCGTCACGTATCCCAGCATTCCGCGCAAGGGCATCGCTGAGGACTGCTGGCTGGGTCGCGGAGATGAGTCGTGGTGCGTGGAGTTTTTTGGTGGGGAGTATACAGCCTGGCACCGAGGGGTGCCCCATCGACTGCTTGTCCCAAAACAGTTCTGTCGAATTGGAATTTTGTGTAATTTCCCAGCCGCGTCGGTGATGTTTCTGGGTGCAGACGATATGTCACCGCTTTTTTGTTTCTCTGCCGGGAACTTCTCGGACAGCCTCCACCTGGCCTTGTGTCCTGGCCATGACCACAATGGAACCAATGCAAAACCGATTGTAATCTGTAATGCAACACCTCCAGCTCCACATATTTAACGTTGTACCAATCATTTATAAGGGACTTGGCACATATGGAAGTGAAACCTTCCATCCATCCATTTTGTACTGTGTATCCTGCTGTGGATCACAGGTTAAGCTGGAGACTATTCCAGATGACTTTGGATGTATCCTACTAGTCGCCAGTCAGTCGCGGTGTACATGTGACACACACAAAAAATTATTCACACACCTAAGGGCAATTTAGTCTTTAATTCACCGAATATACATGTTTTTGAAATGCGGTAAGAAACTAAACAACCCCGGGCCAACATGCAGCTGAGATTCAAACCCAGAACCACAAACTGTGTGGCAGATATGCTGGCCAAAGGCCCTACCGTTCCACTCGCCCTTGGGAAAACATTGCAAGTAGTGTAATTCATTTGAACTTTGAGTTATTAGCTGTTTTATCTTTTCAGACTTTAAAATGAACTTTACAGTAAATGCTGCATGACCCACAATGAGGGTTTGTGGTCTGATGGTCTATCATTTGAGTTTCCCGAGGAATTCAAATATTTAACAGACAGACTAAACATATGTCAGCCTCAGACAAGTCGGACAATATTTTCCAACCCCATTCGTGTTGTAAAAATAACAGTTATGTAAAGAGTTTAAGACACTCTATTGAAGAATCTGGTGCTTGCGGTTCCTTGTTCACAATGTGATCAGTTTCATTTGGATATATTCTTCCTTCTAAAAATAATGCTTATGGTTGGACATTGCAACACAATGCCTTCTCATGCCTAACACTTCAGAATATTTAACAGTAGTTTGGTGGAACAAAACCATATAATAACATCACAAATCCTCTTGGTCTACCCACTAGACTGGATCGTACATTAGGCTGCACTGGATTTGGGGTGAAGTGAGTTTAAATAGCAGTGGTAGTTTATCTTGAGAGTCAGCCAGTGTATGTAGATCCAAAGTCTACAGTCAAACAAATAAGTTCCTTGCAAATGAACTTTTCACTGAGGCGTTGGAAATGAGGGGTGTTGGGGGGCAGACATGCGATGATTCCATGAGCCCACAACTGTAATGAAACAAAAACACATCTGAACCTAATACCGGTAGTAATATTTAATTATCACTATGATGTGATTGTTTTGAAAAAAACTTTTTAGTCCTTTGATTGGAAACTCAAAAAAATTAAAAAATAAAATAAAAATCTCACTATAAACAAAAATGGTTCTTCATTGTTGGTATTGAAATGTCCATGGTGTGATCCACTGAACAAGATTGTGTTCATGACTGCATATGAATCCTCAAAAGTATAGCGAAAAAATCAATATCATTGACCGGCAAGATAAAGGCGAATCAAAGGTTAGTGTACTCATGCAAAGGTTTACAAAAGTGAGAGCGATCTGCTGCCGCATATTCTCATTTGTCTGCGTGTCCGCTCATCTGCTGCCATCATGAACCTGAAGCTCCTCTTCTTTTGCCTCTTTCTTGCTGTGATCCTCATCCCAGCCGAAGTATGTATTCCCTTCTCACTTCTGCTGTTTACTTATTATGGTGCGCTTTTTGCCTTTTGTTATGCCTTTTTCTTTTGAATAAAATGGAGCCATTCACCAGCCATGATAATGATGACTAATCACGAACAGAGTTGCAACACTGCTGCTGCCTTTTGTTATGCCTTTTTCTTTTGAATAAAATGTAGCCATTCACCAGCCATATAATGATGACTAATCACAAACAGAGTTGCAACACTGCTGTAATTTTCAAAGCTGGAAATGTTCTGTAGGAATTCAGGGAAGGTATTGGAAATTACAAAAACTACAGAAATAAACATGGGGCATTTGCAAAATTGCAGGCTGATCCATATCAGGGAACTTGAATGTGTTTTTGTGTGTGTGTGTGTGTGTGTGTGTGTGTGTGTTTGAGAGACTTTCCATAACTGA